AACTATTGGCTATGCTATTCGAGTGTGAAACTTGTGCGAGTGTCATGATGTTGGAAACCTCCAGCTTACCCTTTAACAGCAAATAACTGACTCTGGAATTGGAACTTAGAGACAGTTCTGTACGTTCTGCACTACAAACGTCGTAATGCTAAATATGGATGGTTGATCGAATAGAAATAGTGTATCTCGCAACAACCGCCTATAACAGGACAAATTCGTCGTTTGCAGAAGTGCCCTAAAGGCTTCAACCTCATTAAGTCTCATAAATTCACAATATGAGACTATTTCGCTAGTCTGTGCAGCTAAAACATGGAGTTAGAAAAAGTGTAATACTACTTTCCTGTAGGTGAAAGTATTCTTTCGCATTTGGTACAGCTGCCATGCACATAAGCATCCTAATGAAAATAAAAATGGAGCATTAATCGACTTACTAGTGATGTGTAGGTGGATCACTACCTAATCAAAGCTTCTGGCATAAGTGAGTGTGACTACAAAATATTGTAATTATGACTGTCGTTATACCAGTGTCACATTTTCAGATATGTCATCAATTAAAAATGGTTGACATACGCTTCCCAAACCAGTAATACCCATTTCACTGATGTTGTTGGCCTAGGTGAACAACTTCTCATTAGCGTCAATGGCGAAACTAATAGTTACTGACGTTGTTGCGCTGTTAATCCAAAATTCCGACCTGAAGACGAGCACAATGTTCAGATTTTGTCACATCTTGCACACGGCTGTTTATTAGTTACACATTGCCATTCAGCAATTTTCTGTGAAACATGATATATTATGAAAGTAAATTTTTTTGTTGGGAGGGTCAGTGGCATATTCAAATCCATGGGATAAATATCATTTTAAAATCGCTAATTCCTTTGATCAAGAAACTCACTCAGCCGTACTTCGGTGCAACCAACTGAAAACCTGGCAGGTCGCTGACCTGCAAATAACAGAGACAACATGGTAGTTTGGTTGATTGTATCAAACCATGCAAAACATACGGCCATACCCTCTGATGCTTGTGTCTTCGGGCTACAGGTAGCTTTAACTCATCTGACAGTCAACTAAAGGTAATCTCAAGGTGCAAACGTTCGTTGAAAAAATACTATTAAAATTTAGTCGAAATGGTGCTTCATGCATGATTCAGTTATTGTCGTCATATTACGTTTATTTTCAAACTCAAAACCGCTAATATCAATGCGGTTAAAAATAAATGAAAGGACAGATGAGCTATATGAAAATTTAGCATTTAGTCCACATGAAAATCTGCCCAGAAATTTGATGATAAATGTTGAAGCTGGATTCGTGGCTACATGCAGCTATTGTGGTATTTAATCCGTGTTTCTCAGATTTATCTAAGATGGCCATTTTAGTGATGTAACATCAGCGGATTTTCTTTCCATAGTCGAAAGGAATATTTTCAGTTGAAGGAGTAGGATTAAAGCGCAGACAAAAAGTACAGTAAATCTTATTGATGTTCAGGTATTTCCCATTGACTTACAGCTCATAATCCAAATGCGACTCATAGCAACCAATCCCGTCTGCGTTCAGCACTCACATCAATAATTTTCGCATTAGTATAGCTACTATGGTTGTATTACAGTGTGTGTCCTCTTCTGCCTTCTTGCATATCTCCGTTTTTTATCCCATCGCCTGTAACATGTAACGTTTTCTTCGATAATCGGTTAGATACAATCGTCGCCTTAACCATATGCATTGTATAATGTCTAAATGATGCTGTGTTTTTTTAGTATGTCATTTTTTTCTGTCATTCCTTCCGTTTCTTGTCTCGCTCATTTTCTCATTTTCACGCGATCGTCTTAACTATGCAATAATTTCGAGTAATTAATTTAGTACATTCATCACTGTAAACAGTGCTCCTGTGCTATGTATCAGTGTCCCACTGCGGACCAATGCATGTATATACGAGATGTTTAAAGCCGACAATGTGAATTTCACTTTCTTATTTTATTTTTCGTTTGGTTGGAATTCTTCCAGTTACAGGTTTTGCTAAAGTATTTCGATTCACTTCTCCGTTGTAACCGGTGTCTACGCTGCATTCATTTCTTCAGGTTCTGTGTTCTGCCTTTAACCGTTAGTAATATCAACGGTCCACTCTCAACGTCATGTTACATATACCTGATATCCAATGCTGCATGATTCTCTTGTGACTATTTCGAGCAGTTTTCTGTCTGTTTCCCGAATGATTATCGAAGTACGTCATTTTATATTCGCCTTCAACGTCCAGAATGAGACTTTGCTTAATCATTGTAGCTTTCCAGCATTATTTGTCAGCAGCCGGAACATGCGATGAAGCAGTAAGACCCGCTATAACATCTCTAACCAGATTCAAACTAAGCAGATTCGAATATGCCGCGGGTCTACTCATGTCCCCTAAAATGATTCTATTTATTTTCTCTATTGAAAGCAGTTTTAAATTTTAACTCATTATTTTTTTTTAAATTAGCTGGTTCGAATTCTACTATATATTCTCTCTGTGAAATCAACTTCGTTTCAAATTTTAGCTTGAATTATTTTCTACTTAAACAACTTGGTTCCAATTTTTCCGATTGGCTGCTAGCAGTGGTGGCGTAAACAAATTGGTGCTTCTTAATATTCCTCAGAATATTCCATGTCACCTTCTAAACAGATTCACCCTATTGTCTGACATTTGATGCGCATGAAGCCTCTAATGCTCTTGCCCAAAGAACAAAGATAACCTGTGGAACTGGGTTGGCGACGACAAAGAAGCTCCTGTCACTGTTTAAAAAAGTTGTAACGGAATTCCAGAACCGCGGAAAAGGAAATGAGGGCCATTTATTATATGACGACAGCGGAGATGAAAAGACCACAAAAATTAGCAGCATATTGGATAGCATTAGTGGGGTGATGAACTGGGTGGGAAGAAAAGTGATTGTGATCATCCTCATTTACTGCATTTACAAAATATTAAAATTTATGCAATGAAGCGACGCCATCAGCTGTTAGTCCAATGACAATATCGAAGTTATTCAAAGAAACAATGATAAAATAAGATGAATTTTTTCACTCTAATGAGTTTTAATCGTATTTTACATCTAAATGTGCCAAAACATGTGCTTATACTTCCATGTATAAAATTTCATTTTCCACGAAAATTTTTCGACCTATCGATGGTTGCCGATGACGCGATTATTCACTAGTTTTCCCCAGAAACCCGCGTCATAACGGAATTTTACTGCAGTTTATCAATTAGATCGTGAAATTGAAATGCGTTTAATTTGCCCCTTGATTTTTACAGTAATTTCGACAGTCGCACAGAGTCTCTTCCCAAATTGTGACGAAGCTGTTACAATGCTGATAGCAACTGCCGTTGTTCAAGTGAATAAACCTGAACTTTGTCACATTGTTAACAGTTCACAGACTGTTTGAAACATAGAGAACCAGTAGACAGTGAATGGCTTTCATCAAAACGTAAACGAAGTATACTTCGTGGTAAATAAAAATCAAAAATTGTATTTCTTCTGATCGAGGATCAGTAATTTTCGGTGACAGATCTCCATGGACACCGGCGTGGTTCACAAAAAGATACTTTATTGTAGTTTGCTCTTTCAAATGATTTCATTTTCTTATCTCCGGCGGCTTTTTACGATGTTGGTGCAATTAATTTTTTAAAATAATTTTTTAAGGATTTTATGGCACCAGTTTGACATTCAGCAACCGCAAAATAGCTAACATTTCGAAATAGATGATAAAATTTGCGCTTCTCTATTGACACATGCTAATTCGAGCTCACGTGCAACTTAGGAAGGGTCATAGCATCCGATTTATATACACTCCGACTTCCGCGATATATTTGGCCGAATACAGACCAGTTTAAAAACAGATTTTGGCTTACAAAGGACTGACGATATGATCGAAATACGGATGATGAATATGTGGACCCCAATAGGTCCAGTGCCATAGCTGATAGTTTCTTGGAGATGCAAAACTGTCAAATGGACCCAACATGGTTACACGCCAGGACAATGAGAAGAAAGGTTACCGGAATAGTTTTGAAGCTGAGCAAAAAAAAACGAGAATCCAAATAAGAAAGGCTATGCATTACAAGAAACCTAAAACGAAATTCCGACATATTATAATTTTGTAATGGCGTTGAAAAATAACGATGCGATGATGAAGGGCGAAAACATTTAGAAAACAGAGAATGCTTAACGATATAATCAAACCCATTCCATCGAATCAGGGAACGAGCTAAACAAGCCAAAAAAAAAGGTTTGTTCGAAGTCTGGGCAGCACCACCCTTTGTAAAAACGAAATGAATCAGCCGAACCAACGACCAAAGTTTACTCTACCATCCGAAAAGACTCCAGCAGAGTTATAGTTATCGGAGTGGAGTACACTATTGAAACAAATGGACCGCTCCAAAAAATCGAAGTTACTAACGGGATGGGCAATACACTGCCAAAATTTCAGTCACCGTGCCATCCAGGCAAATAATAACCTCGGAAATAGATCTTAAAATCACTGAAAAAAAATTAGCACTCAGTTTCCCCTCCCCCCAACGAACATATGCTATATGTTTTAGTACATATGTTTCTATGTGCTGTCAAGCATGGATATTTAATTTTAAAGCGTAGGTTAAGGTACTTTTTATCGGATTAAGCTTAACAAGCACATGTATTTCTTTGGTGACAAATGGTTTATGTTACCGTTGTAATGCTGTAAATTTTGCCGGTCGTTAGGAATGATTAAAATACGATGTTGCAACCTTTTGATCAATCTACAGTAATTTTGGCGTTTGTTTCTTGAGAGAGTTTAATTCTTCGTCATGTGTGTAAATGTTACCTA